ATGAGCCAAGATGGTTTTCACATTCGTAAATGGTTGGGAGAAAAAAATCAGGAGAAGAAGAATACTTTGTGGCATGTAAAAAGTATATGAAATTCAAGCTTCGGTGTTCGAAGTTTTATTGGAACCCAGCTACACCCATTCCTTACCATTCTCTCAGGCTGCCTTCGGGACTACAACTGCACGACTGAGTGGTTGTGGCAGAGACTGTATGGGCCGCAGAGCCCAAAATATTTACTCTCTGGTCCTTCCAGAAAAGGTTTGCCGACTCCTCCTCTATACTCCAAGGTGAAATGTTACATATCAACAGGAGAGGCTTGTAAAAAGCGTTCTGGGACTTAAGAAGAGGGGAAACTAACATTTAACCCACGGTGGGAGGTGTCGGAAGGATCTACAGGTGTGCTCTGTTTTAAGACTCAACACATGAAAACCCAGCATTTAAAACAGATAAGGTAAAAGCAGTTATTTGCATAACAAATTTTCCTTTTCATTTTGTAAAGGGATTCACCATGGGGTTGCTTTATAGAGTGAGCCTCTATAATGCATGCTAATATGATTCCACTTACAAATACTCTATTCCTAATAACTTTCCGAGAACATATCTATTGTGTACCGTGAGGCTTAGCTATAATCTTTTTTTTTTTTTTTCCTGGTAGTGTAAGGTTTCTTACTGCTGAAAAGTAATGGAGTTGACCTTGCCAATTCAGCGGGGAGGGTAAGCGTTCTGCGTTACCTTCTCGTTGTCTCCAAGAGGGGCTTTGCCTGACAAATAGAAAAATGCCGTGGGTTCCAAGTCTCTGCATTATGTGAAATTAACCGGCCGGGAGAATTTTACGTTTCTAGCCAACCTCCTCTTGGTAACTGCAGTTAAAGTCCTCACATGTAAACTCATCACTATTCTATCGCTTCATTTCATACACAAGATGCAAATTAATAAAAATCACAATATTTATAAGGAGCAATGTTTCTCTCTTAAAAAAAAAAAAGAACACATTAGCTTAACTGAATTACAAGTGCAAGTCATATCATATTTAAATTAGAGTTCTCCCCCAACAAAATAGGAAGTGGTGTTGCCAGTTCAGTATAGGACCCAGTTCCTTCTTTCTTCGGGTCCTGAGCCTGAATCTTCCAGCAGCTTTGCGGTGTTATGCAATTGCTCTTTTCAAGAGATGCATAAAACGGAAGCCGCGGCTATTCATAGCCAACTTAGGAGGAGCTGAAATCTTTCAAGAAGTTTCTTGCCTGGTACCATCTCGACAGTAACTACGTGTTTCTGAACACATCCAATTAATCTGGATTTCACAGGGCGGCTCTTTTAAAGAGCCGTCTTGTGGCTTTTGTTTTCATCCTCTGTGGTGACTCTATCTTAGAAGTGGACATACATTCCTGGTATCTAAGCCTGAATGTTTTTCGGGTGTTTTGGTGGTAAAAGAAGCCTAAATGGAAATGCAAGGGCAGAGAAAATCATGCGTGGGGAAGTCCTGTGCCGCCAAATGGCGTAGATCTGTGTCGCGGGGCTGCTAATGGATATTTTGCGCAATCCATAAAGGGGCAAAGTGAGAGAGACACAGAGGGAGGGTGAGAGGCAGAGCCAGCATTAAGGGCAGGAGCCCTGCATGGTTCTGAGGCAGGATTCCTGGGCAAACGGCGTCGTCAACGGGCTTGCGGTGGGCGGGGGAAGCTGATGGAGGTGGCTTGACTGCCTCCGGAAACTGTCACCTCAAGTTCACATTCTCCAGCAGGTAGCTTTGCAGCCATTTCTGAAGCTCAGCGCTGGAAGGAAACGCACATTTAATCTGTCTGTGAGGTTCTTTAAAGAGATGTCTCTCTCTTCATCTCCCCCTGAGGTCAGGAGCACGGTAACTGCACACAGTAGCTAGAAGGCTCCATTGCGTTCTTGAATTCCTGAGGTGGCCAGCATCAATCGATGCATCGTGGAAGGTACTGACTATAAAACAAATGGACAAACACTGAGCAAAATATGGTAGTTCAGTGTTCTTCTTCCCTGGTGGTAATTCGAAAGTTTTCGAAGTTAATACTAATGGGTACAGACAAATGGGATAGAAATTTCCATGCATTTTTATGACCAAACAGAAGCCCAAGCCCTGGGGGGGGGGGGGGGGCGGGCCCTGCTATTAGGGAAGCAGGGAGCAGTAAATGCAAGGGGAGAAATTGCAAAACGCCGTGATTTCAACGAGACCAGAACACTCCCCCACTCCCCCCTGAACGTCTCCCTCCTACCAAAGAGCATCTGAACAGATTTCATTTCACAAATGGAAATGGGACGCAAACAAATTTTTTCAAAGTGATCTCATTAAGAGTGGGCCTGGTTTCATTGGGTTTTCAGAGCCAGGATTAATATTATAAGCTGGAGAGTTCTGTTATGGGCCCCGGGGGGAAGGCAGAGAGAGAGCTGGTGCTTCAGGAGCAACGCAGCCTCACCTCCTCACGGAAGTTACGCACGGCCAGCCTGGTCCAAGCGCCCAGGCCGGATCCGAGTTCCATGTAACATAGGAAAGATCTTCCCAAGCTCAAGGTCATATCTAGAGCATGCCTTGGATATTTTTTGCATCCCTAATTTATGTGACTTTCTAATATGTTTAGCATTTGCCCTCCCCTTGTCTCCATCCTGCTTATTAAGGTAAATTTGCATAGAAATGGGATCTTGGATTTCAGGACCATTCACCTGACACTTGATCTCCTGAGGTGACCAGTATCTGTGTCAATACCATGAGGGTGACCCACAGACACCACATCTCCCTGCAAACTCAAAGCAAGGCCTTAATTAGGGGAGGCTTTTCATGTTAAAGCCACGGGGTGAAGCAAATCAGCAAAAGCATTTAGCACTCACTAAGGAGGACAGAATACTCCTTCCTGTTGAGTGGGCCATCCTAGGTCACAATTTTAACGTTTTTTTTTTTGTTTTGTTTTTTTGTTGTTTGTTTTTTTTTTTATTTATTTTTGAGACAGAGAGAGACAGAGCATGAACGGGGGAGGGACAGAGAGAGAGACACAGAATTGGAAACAGGCTCCAGTCTCTGAGCCATCAGCCCAGAGCCTGACGCGGGGCTCGAACTCCCGGACCGGGAGATCGTGACCTGGCTAAAGTCGGACGCTTAACCGACTGAGCCACCCAGGCGCCCCCTAGGTCACAATTTTAATTTGCCTTAGATGGACAGATCCTGAAGAAAGGATACAAAAAGTATATATCTTTGTGTGTGGGGGGGATAAATTTTGGCACACAGTTAACTATGACATTTTGCTTGGGCTCCTGAAATATTTTTTTGCCCAATAGCTATCTTTCAGATGGGTAATTGTCATCTCTACAAATTACCTTTGGAAGACCAAACAAATGTGGAAAGTCAGAGAAACGGGTCACTTGGCTGCCATCACTGTGGCAGTGGCTTTAATCCCCTGATCTCTGCATGCCTCACCCTCCCCACCGGGCAGCCACCTTCCTTAGTCACCTAAATCTTGTCACTTCGGTGGAAATTCCCACAGAGAGGGTGGCTGTGGTCCTGGTTTACTGGTCACTGAAAGTCATTAGGTGTGAGTTCACTGACGTAAAGGGGTTCAGACTTTGGCACATTCTGACAAACGTAAATGCCAAACAACAGCTTCCAAGACTGTCCCAACAGCGAACTGTCTTAGCACAGAAACAAAGGACTTGCAGGTCTTGGAGAATAGGCATCAAATTCCAAAGAGGAAAGTTCATAAAAGATGGGAGAAATCAGAAGAAAACTCTTCTGTCTTTTCTGTTTTTGAGCTCTTTTTGGCCAGGCTCCCTTGCTGAGGATAAATTCATTCAAATACAATTATTTTAAAGACAGAAAGACTACCTAGTTTTATGTCGTGCAACATTTTGTGTCTATTGTTGAATTTTTTTTTTAATTTTTTTTCATGGTTATTTATTTTTGACAGAGAGAGAGTGCGAACGGGGGAGAGGCAGAGAGAGAGGGAGACACAGAATCAGAAGTAGGCTCCAGGCTCCGGGCTGTCTGCATGGAGCCGGATGTGGGGCTCAAACTCATGAACTGTGAGATCATGACCTGAGACGAAGTCGGACGCTTAATCGACTGAGCCACCCAGGCACCCCGCGTCTATTGTTGAATTTAATCTCACATCCTTATTAGTTGAATATTATGATCTCCACTTTACAGATAAGGAAACTGAGACTCCAAGAGGTTTAGTTATTACACAAGAACATACAGCTATTCACCAACAAAACCAGGACTCTGCTCTATGACATCCCCCCTGTCTCCTAAAACAACAACAACTGTATTTCATTTGTAGGCTAACTTTCTTATTTTACACAGGCCTTGTGTATTACTGGGGGTGGGGGCATTTTAACTCAATTCAGAGGTATTATAATGGTATCTTTCAAAATGTGCTTGGCTTACACTATAATAATGCAATAAGGAATCTGACTAATCGAGTCCCCTGACTCTAAAGCCAGAATGTTTTCCACTCTCAAGCCATGTGGAAGGATGCTAAGTTCCCCACTGGCCGATGCTGCCTAATTCTCTTAAATGATTCAGATGTAAAAGAGAAAATGGCATCTGTCTAATTAACACCGCCCGGTTAAATATAGCTGCCAAGGGACAGCCTCAGGACGATGTTTACAGAACAGTCTTTCCAGCCCCTCGGGCCCCAAGTTAGAGATGATAGTGAATCTTCAATCCTTATCAACCAGAAGCAGGGATGCCCCAGAGATGGTGACAGGCCGGGCAGGCAAAGGGGGGCGAAAGGGGAAAGGCACTGCTGGCCTTCATTTCCCGCTCCTGGAGCTTGGGGATTCAGGGAACGACGGGAAGCAGATCCCACAGGCTCCCTCCCGCAGCAAGTCCACAAAAACAAAAGCCCTCCCTGCGAACCTGGGTCTTCCTCTCAGGCCCGGAGACCTTCGGCCAAGCACCTACCACCTGCTAAGACTGCTAGGTGCCCGCTGCTCTGAGCCCTTCCCTGGACAGAAAGGCACAATAAACACATTACCTCTCTTCCAGCTTCACGTCACAACATGGAAGCCGTTGCCAAGTTTGACTTCACCGCCTCCGGCGAGGATGAGCTGAGCTTTCACACCGGAGATGTTCTGAAGGTAGGTGACGTGGGGCCCCGGGGAGCCGCGGGGGAGTTTGCGTTACTCTGGTCTGGTCACCGTGTTCATCAAACAACCCATGGCTTTGTTTCTTTTCTTTTTTAAGTTTATTTATTTTGAGGGAGAGAGAGAGAGAGAGAACGAGTGGATGAGGGGCAGAGAGAAAAGGAGAGAGAGAGAGAGAGAGAGAGAGAGAGAGAGAGAATCCCAAGCAGGCTCCACACTGACAGTGCAGAGCCGGATGTGGGGCTCAAACTCACAAAATGTGAGATCGTGACCTGAGCCGAAATCAAGAGTCAGATGCTTAACCCACTGAGCCATCCAGGTGCTCCCCCCATGCCTTTGTTTCTTCAGAACTGCATGCGGTTTCTTTCAAAAAAGAGAAATTCACCTCAATCAAAAAGGTTCCTTCTGAGCTCCCGGGTGCCAGTTACCAGGGTACACGATGGAAATAAGTCACCATCCTTGTCCTGTGATACTTGTGGTCTGGAGAGGGAAAGAAATCCATCCAAAGGGCTCTTACAAATGTTCTCGTCTAAGTGCTCAGGGAGCACAGGTGAGGAAACAAGGGATCCCACTCGAGAGATGGGGTGGCAGGAAGCTGCAGCAACAGCAACACCTGTGGCCGGGGAATGCAGGGAACGTGGCTGGACGTTTACCGGAAGCTCAGATGTAAGCAAGCCCTTGTGGCTTCAGTGAGCACTGTGAGGTTCAGTGTCACCAAAACTCAACCGAGGGTGCAGGCTGGAGACAGCCGGGAAAAGATGACTGGAACAGACGTGGGCCAATGGAGGCCATGCACACCCCGGCCGCTCGAGGACGCCTTAAAACCTGCCTAACACCCACATTTGAGTTGTTGTGGCTACGTGCAGAGACAAAGTGGCCTTGGACTTCCACATTCCATGCATCACACTTGCGGGCTTCACACCTTAACCCCGATTTTGAGCAAAACCAGAAGCCCTTCTGCCATTTGGGGAGTCTGTGATGCTAATGCCCACCCCCCCCCCACCGGCCTGGCCACAGAGCACCCTCAGAAATCTTGATTCCTACTCCTCAGCAGCCGACATGGGACTTCTCAGCCTGCACAGCAACACTGAGGCCACCAGTGTCTCACCCCTAAGAAGTATATTTGCCGTAGTGAGAGCCTTGTCAGTACGTGACGGGGTGACTCAGAAAGTCACTTGGTTTGGGACTTGAACACCCCCAGTATTCGTCCTTCTAACCGCTCTCACCTTGCAAGCTCTAGTAATATAGTTGTGAAGGGTGTGCCTTCAATGCTGGAGCTTCTCAAGGTCAAAACGTCACCTGGGCCGCCCACCCAGGGAGAGGCGACCTTCACTTCTGTGGGATCTTACCAAGGTCACAGAGGCATCTGCCACACGGTGAGCAGTCCCTCCCTTCTCTCTGGGATATTGTGACCATGTGATTATCGACTGCTATACAGGGTCCTCGCTCAAAAGAGGCCAACGGGCCAACTCCCACCCCTCATCTCCCATTGCGAACAGAACCCAATATCTTGCTCAAGAGTTTCCTATTCCTCAGAAAAGCAGAAAGAAAAAAACGTTCCTCAACTCTGCTTCTCAGTCCACCTCCTGATTTCTTTCTTCTCCTTGGCTCCCAACACCAGGAAGAGTTCCCTGTGCTGGTGCCTCTACTTCCTCACCTCCCACTGAGTCTGCTGGAACTTTCTGGAAACTGCCTCTTACCCTCAACACTCCCTTCAAGTCCACCCGTGATCTCCTTAATGTATCATAGCATGACACTACTACAGCGCCTGTAGAAGGTGACACCGTTAGCTGTCCCTCTTCTGCATCTGACTGGAGCTCTGCCTCGCTCCTCAACGTTACTCTGTCCTGAATATTCTTCTTGAGATCTCTCAAGCAATCCCCCGTCTCACGAGAGAGGAGTCTGATGAAGTAAAAAGGAGCAGGAGTTTAGAGCCAGAGAAGTTGGGAGTTTGAATCCCAGCTGACTAGCTGTATGGCCCTGGATCCGTCCCCTGCCCCTCTGAGCTTCACTGTCCTTCATCTGCAAGCGGGGACCGTAACTATTTTGCAGGGTTTGGGGAAGGATTAGAGGTAATGGCCCCACCTCAAAGTGGATGTTCCTTGAATGGTTGCTGTATTCCAGTATTGCCCATTCCTGCCACCGTTCAGACCATCGCCACAGCCCCTTGACTGACTTCATCACCTCCTGTCTCTTACTCCTTCAATCATTCTACGTACTAGTCTTCGGAGGATCTTTCTGGGAAAAAAATCAGGTCGGATCACCTCCTTGCTCAAAAACATTCAGCGGTTCCCCATTACCAGTCGATAGAAAGTTAAGCCACCTGGCCCCAACCCGCTCCCCAACCTCCCCAAGCTCTCGTCCGTGAACACGCACACATACATACACGCACGCGCACATACACACACCCTTGTGTATGTAATGCCCGGGTCACGCTGCAATATATACACTGAGTTTCTCGCACTCTCCCCGTACTCCAAATGCCTTTCTCCTCCACAGGCATATTTGACTACCTCTGCCTCGGAACCCTCACTAATCCTCCACACCCCCTATGGCCCCAGCAAAATGAGTCACTCCCTCTTTAGCTCTTCCACGGCATGGCAACACACGTCATTCAAGGTGCTGCCGATCTCCCCTCCCGAGACGGTTATTTATGAGCAGCCAAACCCCTGTGCTCTTACGCACACCACACCCACCTCCCATCACTGCCCTTACCCTGTGGGATCCTGACCGCCCGTGCATATGTTGGCTATTCCACTCGCCAAAGCTCTGTGAGGGCAGGGGCCAGGTCTGCCTCGGTGTCCAAAACAGCAGAAAGGTGACCCTCCCTAATATTTGATGAATGAATGAGTGGTGGTTTCCTCCATCTAGGAGCTCCCTGAGAGCAGAGCCAAGCCGGTTCATCTTTGTGTCTTCCCAGCAGCGCCCCCACGCAAGTCACAGCCCCAAATAGGTGCTCAGCGCAAATTGCATGAATTGTTAAATTGCATTTCTGCACGCTCGTGTAGAATTCCATCAGAAGGGCAAACCTGTCCTTTTCAAATTCTGTCCCTTGCAGCTGTGCTGATGGAAAGAAAAGTGGAGAGGGGCTTGTTGGCCGAACCCCACAGCATGTCTCTATCATGGCGGTCAGTAGCCCTGCCCGTGGGTCTCTATGTATGACTGCAACATCTGCCCCTCCGCTCCAGAGATGGGTAAAAAGCCCCAAGATCTTGCAATTGCTTTCCAAAGCAGCTCTTGACCGCCCCAGCAATTTACTCCTGGGATGCTCTTTCATCCTAGACTTTTCGTGCTAAAAGACCAAACAGACTTTTTCACTAAAAGGTACAAACAATGTCTGACGAGCTCACCACCAGCTAACCCCTCTAGACTGTGAGTTCCCCAGGACACAGGCCTCAGCTTCTTCATCTCTGTATTCCCAGCACCTAAGCGCAAACAGCAGGTGCTCACTAGATGCCGATCAAAGGACCATGAACAAGATGATGGACGGGGGACTCTGGCCGAATGGCTCGATCCAGCTTCTCCTGTGACAGAAACATTAGGAGTCAGATAATTTTATGTTCATGCCTCAACCCCTTGGACCTGCAGCTCTGTGCAGCCCCAGACTTAACATTTTCCCTCTTAAATCTGCCGCTGTTTAAAAAAAAAACAAAAACGACCCAGTCCATTTCCACCCGCTTCTGTACTGTGTCTAACTCAACCCTGTTTCTTCCTACTAAAACAGTGACCTGAAAGCATGAAGAGTTAATCCTATGTAATTAACTGCAATACTTCAGATTTCTGCCATGCCTCTAAGAGCTGTAATTCCATCCAATTTTAAAATTCTCCCAACTGTACATTTTGTCCTCTTCCCACGTCTAACTTATTCTCAGGCCATGTGACCCAGAAAATTATTCTCGTAGGCAACATTATACGAATTAACATACAGTAAAGTGAAGTGTAAAACCTCATGTGTTCAGGCTGAACCCCTTGCTCGAGTTTTCATGATGGGGACAAGAGATAGGGGGAACCGAACAGACAGAGAGATGAGAAGAACAGGAAGTATGGGGCCCTGGGCCAACAACGGTGGAAGGAAACCACCTCCCCCCAAACACTCCTCTTTGCAGAAAATGAGATTCTTTTAAAACCTTGCCTTCTATGGGGCGCCTGGGTGGCGCAGTCGGTTGAGCGTCCGACTTCAGCCAGGTCACGATCTCGCGGTCCGTGAGTTCGAGCCCCGCGTCAGGCCCTGGGCTGATGGCTCAGAGCCTGGAGCCTGTTTCCGATTCTGTGTCTCCCTCTCTCTCTGCCCCTCCCCCGTTCATGCTCTGTCTCTCTCTGTCCCAAAAATAAATAAACATTGAAAAAAAAAATTAAAAAAAAAAAAAAAAAAACCTTGCCTTCTATACGCCATAAAAAGCCTGTAAATTCACCTCTCTGGGAGCACGATCTTAGGCAGACGGAGCACCAGGTGGTGGGGAGAAATGGCCGCCATTGTGGGCTAATCTTTCAGTTGCTACAGGAGGTAGATGGGTGTGAGCCACAATGACTAAAATTACAGCTGATTTCAGGTCAGAGAACTAAGTACATAGTTGGTTCTTACCGTGATGAGCCAATTTCCACATGGCCTCTTTTACCTTATCCCCGCTCACCTTCGTATTTGACATGTGCTACCCAGCCCAAACATCGCACTCCCGTGTGATGGGAGAAAGGAACTCCAAAGCCATACGTTGAGGGGTGAAGGCATGGAGTGAAATGTCCTTGTGTTCTCTGTGTGAATCCCGGGCACCGGTGCCGGGTTTCCAAGTGCTTTTTTTGACCTAGATTTTTCTGCTCCCCCCACTCCGCCCCCTCTCGGCATACACATACCCACGAGTCCTTAGTGACACCAGCAGTCATATTTGATGATAGAAACTATAAAGTTTTCTGTCCTCAGCAATTCTAGAACTCAAATATGAGACACACTTTTATTTCTTCAGAACAGGTGATTAAATTCAAAACATACACATACAACGCTTTAAAGAACTTATAAACCCTACTATGTCCTTCGGAGCTGGAGGTCTCCCTCCCAAGAATACCACATTTTGCAGAACTGTGTTTTAAAATTTTTTTTAATGTTTATTTACTTTTGAGAAAGAGAGAGACAGAGGGAGGGAGGGGCAGAGAGAGAGGGAGACACAGAATCTGAAGCAGGCTCCAGGCTCTGAGCTGTCAGCAGAGTCTGCTGCAGGGCTCGAACCCACGAACCACGAGATCACGAGATCACGAGATCACGACCTGAGGCGAGGTCAGACGCTTAACCCACTGAGCCACCCAGGCGCCCCTTTCAGTATGCACTTTCTGAAGGACTTCGAGGTACCAGAGCTCATCTGATCCTCACATCAGCTCGGGAGATGCTAGCTGGTTGTCACTGTCCCCATTTATCAGATGGCTAATTGACCTGCGGAAAGTCACACAGCGAGTGACAGGGCCAAGCTGGAAACCAAGCCTTCTCAATTCCAAACGCGGAGGGCCGGCCCCTTTCTTCCACCCCGGGGGTGATACTCGAAATGTCAGTTACTTCGCTGTCTTCATCTCTGCTCCTCTCTGGGACAGAGAAACCCGTGGGACCGAGACTTCAACTCCACCTGCCATAGGACGACTCTGAAATCCCCAATACCAGCCCCAACCTCTCTGCCCAGCCCAGATACACATCTCCAACGGCTCACTGAGCTTTTCTCCTCAGACTCAGGGGGCAGCTTGGATTCACCCACATGCACCCACATGCAATCTGAAGCCCATGGGTTTTGCCTCAGGCCTGCTTCTCCTCATGTATTAGCAAAGCCATCACCACCCACTCGGTCTCCCAAGGGCGAAATCCGGAGCCCTCCCAGAGTCCGCTTCTCCCTTGGTTCCAAGAACAGTCGCGAAGTCCCGCACACTTTGCTTCCAGGTTCCTCTAAAATACCTCTTCGCCCCTCGCTGGGATGGCTGCACTCCCTTCCCAGACTTTCCCCCGCCCAATCCGTCTTCACTTTCTGATGCAGGGCTCTTTCTTGGCTCTAATTCTGGCTGTGTTATGTCCCTGCTCAGAATCCTTTAGTGGTTCCCCATAAATTTCAAGATGGAAGCCCAGACTTTCCAACATGGGCTACAAGGGCCTGTACCTCTGGTATCCCCCCTCGGCCCCTGGGGCCACAATCTAACCTCCCTCCGGACGGAAGCCTTTCATTCCCAGAATGCACCTCACTTCCTCTCATCCCAGAAGTTCCTGCGCCCTCTGACTTTGCCTGGGTAACTCCTTCCGTTGCCTGGGCAACCCCAGGGCCTCTCCTCCAGACAGTCTTTCCTGCCCACCTTCTGCTTTCTCCTTTAGTGTAGCATGTCTATCAGTTAGGGAGTCTTCAGCTACAAGAAACAGAAACTTAAATGCGGCTTAAACAATAATGCAAATTTATTACTTCTCATACAAAGTCCCGAAGCAGGAGGGCTCCAGCCTGGCTAATTCAGTGGCTCAATGACACCGTTAAGCTTCTTTTCATTTTTTTGCTCTGCCGTCTTCATTATTGTTCAAGTCCATGCCGCCCGCTTTAGAAACATTCTCAGTGGGGGATGGGGGCAAATATTTGTCTTTTAATAGCGAAACTACTATTTTCTGAAATAACCAGAAGCCACATAGAGCCAAGTGGTGAGTCATATGAGTAATCAAGGGAAGTGATAGCATTTGGGGTCACAGTCAAAGAAGGACCATACAGTAATGAGACCGAACTTCTGGTTTTGCTTGTGATCTGGCTCTAAAAGCAAGTTTAGAAAAGGCATCCCAAACATCTTGAGTTACGTCCAAATTGTTTGTGAAGCACATGGAGTGTGAACACAGAGAGTTACTGTTTTCAAAGCTGGCCCCACTGGATGTTTAAGTTTTAATTTGCTTGTTGAAAAAAAAAAAGGAACAAATTAAATTTTTAAAAGGTTCCTGGTTACCTAGCAGAGAAGGAAAAAAACCATGGAGTGGCCGCTCTTGTCTTCCCAACACCTGCTCACATGAGGAGCTTCAGATGCTGAGATCTGGGACACATGAGTTTCCAACATATAAAGAGAAAGGATTGCAGAGAGGCCCCTGAATGCTGAGCCTGGGAGGTCACACCATGGTGGCGTCCCATGTGTGGATGGCACTAGGGGACAGAAATTAGCTCGGGGTCAAGGAAGCCAAACTCTAGAGACAAACCTGTTGCTCTCCCACTGGAGCACCTGTGTTGTCTCTCTGGCTTTCCCTCTAAATCCGAAAGGGTGTTCTTTGCCCCGCAGCCCCTTTCTTCTGCCTCTTGGCGTCCTCCCTACAATCTCTGTCCTTCCTTCCTTCTCTTCCATGTAGATCTTAAGTAACCAAGAGGAGTGGTTCAAGGCGGAGCTTGGGAGCCAAGAAGGATATGTGCCCAAGAATTTTATAGACATCCAGTTTCCTGAGTAAGTATTTCCAGCCTGCTGACACGGGCCTACCCACTCACACTCCCCTTACTTTTTCAGCAGTCACTAAAATTATCCATCCATACCCAAGACACTGTCAAAACCGGCTGCCTCTGGAGAGGGAGTCACAAAGCTGAAGGCCAGGGTGGGAGGGAGATTTGCATTTCACTGCATTCCCTTTTGAGTTTTATACCATGTGCATGTATCGCCTATTTTAGGTTGATAAGCTAAACTCATCTATAACCGCAATCACAGGGTTTCCACAAATTCCACCGGGGGCGCTGTTGGCCACCCGTGTCAGAAGCTGCCTCTTCAGAGCGAGTCTTTTCTCCCAACCTCTTCCACCCTCACTAGGGACCCCACACAGCTCCCTGCCTTCCCTAAACCGTGCTCAAACCAGTGAGAACAATCAGAGTGGGGGGGGGGGGAGAGGAAATTCCCTTCCTAAGGAGGAAACAGAAAAATTGAGATTGGGTCTCGTTTGTCTCAAGAATTGACCACAAAAGTTAGATAGAAATCTAATCTGGTCCGTGAGTCACAGTCTAGCCCAAAGAGCAGAGGTCTGTTAGAAACCCCAAGCGGTGTTGGCGACCCTGTGAACCAGGACTGACCACTGAACTGACAGAATGACCACTGACCTCAGCGCTTGATGTTGCCCTGTAATCTCAATGACCGCCTCGCACCTTCTCGCTCCTCAAGCCTCCAGCCCCTCCCCCACGGCACTGTTGACTCAGGGCCTTCCTTCCAGGGTCACTGGGACGATCAAGCCACCGGAAAAGCCCCTCTTGCCCATCCCCCCACCTGACTCACTGCATCCACCCACCTCCTGCAACTTACTGGGACACTGCCTTTCCTGCAGCCATTTGGGAAGAATCGTCTGTGCCTCTGGCAGAAACTCTCCCCTCTCTCTCTGTCTCACATCAATTCTCTCTTCCTCTCTGCTGGGTCACTCCCATCCACAAAGATGCTGCAATGTCTCCCGTCTAACAAAAACAAAACAAAACAAAGCATTCTTGATCCCAAGTCCCCTTCCAGCTACCACTCCCCTTCTTCAAAAGAATTGTGTGCACTCTTATCTCTAACTTCTCTCCTCCTACTGAAACCTTTTTATCAAGGTCACAGTGAACAACTGGGTCCACTGGTGGGTCCCACTGTCTCAGCATGGTAGAACATAAGTTCCGTGGCAGCAAGGGTTCTTGTCCACCTTGCTCACCACTGTATCCCGAGTGCCCAGAAGCAGGTCAGCGCATAGTAGATATCTGATAAAAACTGTTGAATGCACAAGTGAATAGCTTTGGAATGATGCGTAATAACGTAACCCTGCCCACTCGTTTAACATATAGCGTGTGGACGTTTTTTGCAAGTCTTGAAGTCACGTGTCAAACTCCCATCAGAGGATAAGTGTGTACTTTCTAAACGATCTCCTAACTGCTGGCTGCCTCTTCCAAAATATTTCCATTGAGGTATGGCTGCTGAGGAGCGTGGCCCATTCCTCTGCCCGGCCCCATTACATTTCCTGAACAAGGCAAAAGCTGTGGTGGGCAGTCCCTTGTTTAGCCCTGCAGCAAAGCACGACAGGTATCCTGGCAGGATCTCTAGGCAGGTGACCACCAGAAACCCTCGCTTCCAGAGGAAGAAAGCCCAAAGAAACTTCGCCTGCAGCACCAGGTCTGGAATAAGGTGCTCCTGTCTGGAGTCTAAGTTCCTAAATTCCAGAGAGCGTAGAGAATTGCTCACAAAGGAATCCAAAGAGTGTGGGACATTCACCTTAGGGGGACGCACATACTAGCCTTCCAGGGGCAACAATGGAGCAGCCGCCTTGAGGAAATGGGGCCAGTCCCTCTTAGGGCCGCTGAGTGATCGCAAACACTCATTTCGCTCTTGTGTGGTTGAGAGGTTTCTGGCCACCTGCCCTGAGGCTGCAGCTACTGTTTGCCTTGCCTCTATGGCAGCTCTTGGCCTTCACACGCGCTCTGCCACCTGCCGCGACACTTAGAGGCTGCCTGCCACCCTGACTGTTCCCCTGAAAGTGTAGCTTCTCCCCTGTTTCTTCTTTTCCACCATAAAGATTATTTTCCTGGATTTGGGGGAGGGCCCCGGAGCTGGCTGTGTAGACGCTGCTCTCTGGTCGCTGCTAGCCTTGCTCCATGCCACCTGGATCATGAGGGCCCCTGGGCTCTCAGGGGGGCCCACTGAGCTCTCAGCCTGGGGGAGAGCCCACGGCTCCCCAGCTCCGGTCCCCCAGTGCCTGAAGGGGCTCCTGTCTTGCTGGCACATCATCTGTCCCTGCAGCGCTCTTTCCTAGTGACATCCCTCACATAGCTGCCAGCAGGCGGCCGCTTCCCGCAGCGAGTCACTCCCACACTGTCCCATTTTGGTGCAGTGGCACATTTCCATGATTCAGGTTTTCCAAGCGAGAGAGAGGGAAGGAACAAAGGGGGTGCGTCAGGGGAACACTCACTTGCCTCGCCTGCAAACCGCCTAGAGCACGTGTTTGGTTTTAGAGGCCCCGGCCCCCCCTTCGGCCTCTTTCTGCTCTCTACTGACCAGAGTCCCCGGCCTCTGTCCCTTTGGCTCATCTCTTCTCCCCTTCCCCTCCATCGCTCTGGCAACTCACCAAGATCCTCTGGTTTTATCTCATCTAATAGATGGTTTCACGAAGGCCTCTCCCGACACCAGGCAGAGAACTTACTGATGGGCAAGGAGGTTGGTTTCTTCATCATCCGGGCCAGCCAGAGCTCCCCAGGGGACTTCTCCATCTCCGTCAGGTACTGGCCACCCCCAACCCAGACTGCTAAGGCCGTGAGGTGACCTCTTGAATGTGACCTATTTATTGCTCAGGAGCATGGTGGCCAAGGGGCCCAGGCATCTTATCAACTGGGATGCCGTCCATTTCCTTCCCATGACACATGTATATAACTCTTCAGTACGCTGGTTTGTGGCCAAATTATGTAGATGTTCATCTGCTTCCCCTTCCAGCCCAAGTGCTTCTGGAAGGAGCACTTTTATTCTGGAAGGACAAGATTTTATTCTATTTCAGCTTTGTGCCTTTAACAGTGCCTTGCACCCAGTAGGTGTTCAATGAGTATTTGTGCAAGGAAGTGGGGCAGGAGAAGGAAGGGAGAATTCCCAGTTGTCCACATCTGTCTTGAGGTTTAAATCTGAACCTTTTCTTTAACTACTGATATACGTCGGAAGAAGGCTCCGAGGACAATTAAAATCCCAAGTCACTGCTGTAGGGGACAGAGGTAGCTGTACGTGGTGGCACAAAAAGAAGGGCTACGTCAACACACTGTAACGCAGCAAGCTGACAGCAGCAGATGGGAGCCGAGGAGGGCTGGGGTGAGGGACGGTAGCAGCAAAATCTCACTCGTGTGCATGCCCGGGAGGAAGTGAGTCAGTCCAGGCATAAACATGACACAGCCCCACACTCAGAAACCCCAAGTCTGAGCACACTGCGTGTGGTCAGCCTGTCTGGAATCGCGAGTCCCATATCAGGCGTGGTGGCCACATGTGAAAGTGCATAAATTTAACACTGATTTCCATGCAGGAGGAGACGTGTGTGGTGGGACCGCCTGTCAAGTTCATTGACAGGAAATGTTGGTTCAGATTGTTCAATACGCTTTGAAAGGCATACAGCTTTAGTGCTTTAAGCGCATAAATCCAATCTCAGGTAATGAACTGAGGCCACTTTACTCTTTAGAAAGAATGGATATTTTAAGGAATAGGTAGGAAGGACTTACAAATAATGGGTCAACCATTCATATGCACGTATGCCTCTAAAGTGCTCAAAAATAGCTTGGTCTCATTAGCTTTGCCCTTGCAATCTTACTTAAACTCTTAATTTTCCTTAACTAAAACTTTTTTTTTTTTTTCACAGCTTAGGCAGTAGTAAATTTTAGCTCAGGCCTACACTGATGTATCACAGATTCTAAATTTGTCAGGTTTTAATGCAATTTTGCTCTATTGATAAATCCTACAACCAAATCTCTTTCTTAAGGACCCTGATTACAGACTGGACCCCGGAAATGGTTACATTGAAGGGCATCTCTTGGTGCCTTTGGTTTGCATGAAGTGGACTGTGGCTTTTCAGCTAGAAATTATGGTTTATATTTCCTCCACTAAGGTGAATTCTCCAAAACGGTCAGCCTTGACTTCTGCCAGTGCAGCTCCTTGTGAATATCGCCATAATCATGATTATATCTCTTGCAGAAATGTGGCATAATATATTCCAAAGCAAATCATTTTCATTTATTCATACATCTGCTTTCTGTCATGCAAAGATAATTAAGAGCTAATTGTAGTCCTATCACTTAGCATTTGTTAAGGGTCTGAAACACTAGGTTTTAGAGTCTGGAGCCCTGAGTAACATCCTTTTCTCGGCCCCTCTCTGAACTTGACACGTTGGTGCAGCCACTCTCTCTCCATGGGCGCACATGACCAGCTGCAAGCCTGACATCCAGTCCTCTCAGCTCACGAGACAGCAAGGGTTAATGTTTCTCTCTCTGTTTCTTTGACTCAGAGGTGGTAGATGAATAATTATATCACAAGAATATTTCCTCCTCCACGCACAGATGTGAGGAGTAATGACTTAATGAATTAAGCCGTGTGGTGTTAGAGTGAAGAAAGCATCTGTTAGGGGCCACCTCCAAGGGGAAGGCCATGCAGTGATTGCAAAGTCAGTTCTACCCCAGAGCAGTCCAGCAGAGGTCACTGCGCAGGCTCACCTGGCTCTGAGCAGAGCCCAGCACATAAGAGGAGACTGAAGATCAGTCAAAATTCCTGTCCCCTCTGAACATGGACCACTGATTCCATCCTTAAGAAACCTGCACTAACCTTCCAAGGTATCTTTACTCTCCAACTCTCTTTAAATTCGTGACCTTTCTGTTGGATCAGGCAATTCGTATCATTAGTTTATTTTTAGACATAAATGTATGTCTGTTTGACAAATAAACTTGACATCCAAAAGAGAAGGACTTGGTGATGGAGAAACACTGAGAAATTGAGCTGTTACTAATTGAGCTATTAGTAAAGGCCAAGGTCCCCCTTTCCAGATGAATAAAATCCAATTTCTCCAATCCTGGTACAAATATTTCCAGCTGGTGCTAAAAGGTGCCGATCTAAAAGAAGTTAGCATGTGTACACGGTGTGACAGGCCCAATTCGCTAGACTGGAATCAGAGAGCGAGGTTCTTGCCTCAGCTCTGCCACTCACTCACGGTGGCCTTGGCCAAGCCCCCGCCATCTCTCTGAACCAGCGTCCTCCTTCATCTGTAACATGGAGACAAGGCTAACCAATCTCAGAGGTCCTTTACAATGAAAACACCACATCGCTATATAACTTTTCTCCCCTAAAAGTTCAAAATCTTCTGTAACCTTACTTATGTAAAACGTAAACCAAGACCAAGAGATCGCCTTTATATAGAGAACCGATTGTGACAAATTTCTCAAGGTGGTCTCTTACTGTCCAGAGCTAGTTTATGGGCTTAAAGGAGCTGGTTCAAAGTATTTCTGATCATGGAAAGGTCACAGGGGTGAAAAGCCCTCCCCTCTGAGTCTTGTCAGAGTTCTTAGCATAGTACAGAACTCAGGGATTGCCACGTTTCAAACAAACATTGTAAAGAGTCCTTAACCTTGTAGTCATTAAAGCACTCAGAAGAACATTTTTTTCTTTCCTTTTTTTTTTAAAGAACTTTTTAAAAAATGTTTATTTTTGAGAGAGAGAGAGAGTGTGCGAGCTGGGGAAGGGCAGAGAGAGAGAGGGGCAGAGGATCTGAAGCAGGCTCCAGGCTCTGCACTGACAGCAGAGAGCCCGATGCAGGACTCGAACCCACAAACCGTGAGATCATGACCTGAGCCGAAGTCAGACACTTAACCAACTGAGCCAGCCAGGCACCCTGGAAACATTTTTTTTCTTATGAAAGGTCGGCTCCAGTGTCAGAAAATAGATTATCTTCTGCTGATGTAAAAATCCTTTCTAATGCAGCCTGTGTCCTGAGCGGTCCCTCCGACAAATCTCCCCTTAGAATTTAACTGAGCCAGCCCCACCTGCCACTGGATGGGCAGGCACTTGCGGTTCCATTTCCTGCCCAAACAGAACTCCAGCATCCCTGGAGGCAGTCAGTCCTGGGGGGTGGGGACATTGTCGTGATGTAATATACAATGTGGATTCTCCTTGATCTGTAGGCATGAGGATGATGTTCAGCACTTCAAGGTCATGAGAGACACCAAGGGTAATTACTTCCTGTGGACAGAGAAGTTTCCATCTCTAAATAAGCTGGTGGACTACTACAGGACGACCTCCATCTCCAAACAGAAGCAGATCTTTCTGAGGGATAGAACCCGAGAGGATCAGGTACACCTCAGGCCCCGATCAGCCCAAGTCTGGAGATTTTAGGCAACATGAGTCCTATGTGACCCGTCAAGGCGATGCATTTGATGGGCATGTCCTCTGAGTATTCTGGAAGACAGCATCTCAGATCTGGAGGTCAGATCTCAGTTAAACCCTGTCTTAACACTTCCTAGCCATGTGACTTAGGAAAGTTGTCCAATCCTGAGTTTACTGATCCATAAAACCAGAAGGTGGTGATACCTAGCCCACAGGATGGTTGTGAAGGTTGGAGAAGATAATGTATCCCCTCCCCTTACGTCATTCCTAACAATGCTACAAACAACACTCAGCAAACATCAGCTCTTACCTGTAGATACTTTGTTATTATAAATACTACTACATCATAGCTTTCAGCCTAGCTTAGGAGTTGCCCAGAGATGAAGGCCAGGGGGCCACACACAGGGATGTTGGAGAGCAGCCTGGAGTCTAGGACTAAGGCAGTGGGGAGAGCTTTGTCACAAGAAGGGGGGTGGGGGTGTTGGAGGAAAAAAATTGACCTGGAATTCTTGCTCTTAGAACATTATGAAATATAAATATTTTAATAAATGATTTTCTTAAGTTTATTTATTTTGAGAGAGAAAGAGAGAGAGCAGGGAAGGGGCAGAGAGAGAGTGGGAGAGAGAGAATCCCGAGCAGGCTCAGGGCTGTCACCGTATGATCACAAACTGTGTGATCATGACTTGAGCTGAGGTCAAGAGTCAGACGCTTAACCAACTGAGCCACCCAGGTGCCTCTAGAGTATCATTTTAATAGAAAATGCATCAGACAAACCTAGCTTTAAATCCTGACTTCATCACTAACTGTCCTTGTTGCCTAGCCAAGTTAAAAAACCTTTCTAAGGGTCAGATTTCTCATCTGTAGAGTGGAGAGAAAAGAATACCTCCCCCCCTGGACTGTTGCAAGGATTAAATAAGACAGCATAGTGATAGCACTTGCCATAGGGTCTGGACAATAGTAAACACCAAGGAAAAGTTAAGTTGCCTCCTGTAGGTAAATTCACCGCCCCTCCCTCCCCCCCGCGCGCACACACACACATTATAAAATATCTTTCAAAGGAAATGACATGGTTATAAGAAAGAGGTGTGTATTATACAAAGAAGCCTTCTCTGGAATAGTTGAAATCCCAGAAAACGAGTTATCTGAAAAGGCATTGAGACTTTCAAAGCAACACATGCCCTGGGGAAGTAGAGAAAACCATTTCAGGTAATTGGTTAATTGTAAGCTTGAGAAGTGACCGTTCTAGGAAAAAAGGGTGTTCCCAGCCAGTGCCCATAAAAGTTCAGAAAGAAAACAAAGGTTAACTAAAGACCTTGTGAGTTATTTTAATCAAGAAACAGACAGAGGTATTAATTTACTAGGATGTGCATGCAGAGTTAAAAGAGTTAGCATAAAAGTGCATTAAACTAGATTAAACGAGTTCATATCCGTAAAGCACTTAGAGGGGCGCCTGGGTGGCTCAGTCCGTTGAGCACCCAACTCTTCATTTCAGCTCAGGTCACGATCCCAGCGTCATGGGCCTGCTTGGGATTCTTTCTCTCCTCCCTCTCTGCCCCTCCCTCTGCTCAAGGGCACACACACTCTCTCTCTTCAAACAAATAAACTTTTTTCTTAATTAACAAAATAAATAAATAAACAAATAAGGCACTTAGAATAGCGCCTGGCATATGTGAAGCCCAGGACCCTGTGTAATTGTTAAATAAAAATAACGAGAAAGGACCTCTGAGTCACAAGGTTATGGCCGCATTAAGCAAAAAGCCTTGCTCCTTCCCAGCATGCCCAGCGGCAGGCCTGGTTTCCATGGTGCTGCAAGAGGGTTGCTGTGTGGGTCTCTATCACCAGGCTATAAATGACAGTTAAAAATCACGCAAAGTCAATAGCAGAGCTTATCGGGAGGGCAGGCTGTCCCGTGGTGTGGCAACACGAGATAAGGAGGGGTGGCATTGTGTCAGTGAAACAGAATATTTAGCCTGATTACACAGAGAAAAACAAGCCCGCTAGGAAGGGACTGACTGGGTAGCACGTGGAAAGTGAACCAAAGGCCCGAAATCCCCAACCTGGGAGAATCTGAGAACGTAGAGGCCACTTCTGAAACTGCGAGGGCCCGAACTGTCACCGGTTGTGTTTAGGCTGCCCGCCCCCCGCCAGCTGTTTCTTGGAGCTGTCTCTCCAGCAAAGTCTGGAAGCAGCTGCCAGAACGGTGGGGTGGGGCCGGGAGATTCGGGAGGAGGATGGAACCACATCACCTTCGTGCTCTCCCAGGGTCACCGGGGCAACAGCCTGGACCGGAGGCCCCAGGGAGGCCCACACCTCAGCGGGCCCGGGGGAGAAGAAATCCGGCCGTCGATGAACCGGAAGCTGTCGGATCATCCAGCGCCCCCTCCCTCGCAGTACCCCCCGGCACCGCCACAGCAGCAGCGCTATCTACAGCACCCCCACTTTCATCAGGTACCTCCAAACAATGACGTGGGCACAGCGAGGTAGGGAAGGGGAGGCTCAGGCCACTTAGTGTGGGGAAATTCCCTACAGTGTCACGTACAACCGTCCGTGCTTGGGGGGTCTGTCGTGGTCCTGGGACTGCGGGCAGGGGAGGGCCATCTGAGGCCCGGCCTCATCTGAGCCCGGGAGGGCTGACAAAGTTCATAAAGACCCGGGACCTCCCAAATGGCAGAAATATGATAACGTGATGTAGGAACTGCTCTTGGCAAAGAAGTCTCTGTGAATTCGTTGGCTCCCCGCCTGAACACACATACACACACGCACGCACGCACATTCTTACCCTGAGGATTCAGCGAACCGTTGCTCCATTTTCCTGTCAGCCCCTTAACCCATCTGGCTGTGGAGATCCACAAGAAAAGCAGTTTAACACCCACAATAGAGCCTTGCTTATTTATTTATTTATCCCCTGCCTTGTTCCAGATGGGATTTGGGGCCGCTTACCGAGACGGACAATACGGCCAGATAACATCGTTCCTAAATTCCTCAGTAGGGCATACTAAGCCCTTTGTGAGCTGTTTCCCCAGCCTCTCTCCTGCAGACTCTCCCCAAACCTCCCCACCCCCCACCCTCCCCACTCCTGGAGCAAACACACATTCCAGCAACACTGCACTATCTTTAGTTACCGGAATGATCGATTGTGTTTTCTCTCATACCTTGGGGGCTTTTTATATGATGTTTCCTTGGCCTAAAATGCCCTCTCCTGGCTGATCCTTCTCCTCCTCTAAGCTGGAGGCCAAGTATCACCTCCTCTAGGAAGCCTTCCTTGATTACCCTGGCAGACTCAGACATTCTCTTTACACTTAAATGTGTATGGTTTCCTCTCTAAACTGACCCTCCACGAAGACAAGGACCTTTTCTTTCCAGCTACAAATCCCCGGTGATTAGGACAGTACTACATACGGGGCAGGTGCCTGATAAATATTCTTTGATTGAATGAATGAAATCTGGCATGGTCTTCACAGCCGAAGGTCCCTTTGCTATCCTTCCACCTCACCCCACCAGCTGGGGCTTATTGTCATCAGCAGCAAGTATTCTTGGAACACTGGCTGTGTCCATGGCATCTGAGCAAGGCGCGGGGTTTGGGGGGGGGGGGGTTGCGGGCTGAGAGGGATGTGGTGCGGTGACAGGGTCCTCCATTATATGTGTTTCTAGGAACGCCGGGGAACCAGCCTTGACATAAACGACGGGCACTGTGGCGTGGGCATGACCAGCGAAATGAACGCCGCCCTCATGCACCGGAGACACACAGACCCAGTTCAGCTCCAAGTGGCCGGGGTACGTGAACCTTCCCTCTCTGGGCTCAGTGAAGGTGGCAAGAGGGGCACTTAAGGAAATGGTCGGTCCTCCAGGAGAGACACGCTGCTGGGAGCTCAGAACGGAGGTGGTGGGAACCCAGCAAGTGAGGGCGGAGAGGTGTCCCCGGGGCAGAGCCGATCCCGGTCTGTCGTCGTCTGGCCGCAGGGCCTTGCCCTGTCCTGGCTCCGGCTCTAGGGGAGGGGGAGATCTGTCGCCTTTTTCATTGCGATCCATCTGCCTCGGTTGCGCTAGCACCGTGGGCTGTCAGCTTGGGCACGCTGCCATCCTCTCTGTCCCCTGAAGACAATAAAAAGACCACGTATCGATGTAGGGAGAGTAGTTGTCCAGGATTCTCTTGGGGCCTCGGAGAATAACATCTCCGCGGGTAAAAGTCCTGAGTCTCGGAGTTCTGATATCGTGCAGCGAGGTGTGCTTGCAGCTCCGGCGGGGCTTGCTTGGGGCGTCTCTGGAGAGCCACAAGCCAGCCTCCAGGGCAGACTGCTCACAGAGGACTCTGTCTGGCCGCAGAGCCTCCTCCGTGTGACCGTGGCTCCCAAGGCCAGCCCAGCCGCCCTGGCTCGGCAGGACCCCTCTGTGTTTCCCCGACAGCGAGTGCGGTGGGCCCGGGCGCTGTACGACTTCGAGGCCCTTGAGGACGACGAGCTGGGCTTCCGCTGCGGAGAGGTGGTGGAGGTGCTGGACAGCTCCAACCCGTCCTGGTGGACCGGCCGCCTGCACAACAAGCTCGGCCTCTTCCCCGCCAACTACGTGGCCCCCATGATGCGATGAGCCCCTTCCGGTGGGGCCCGAGGCTTTCGTCTGAAGCTGCCTGCAAGAGAGGGGGCAGGGGAGAACTGCTGGAACTACGTGTACATCCGTGTATATGCGTGTGCACACACACGCGCCTATGTGTACGTGCATTCGATAATAGTAATTTATTGGCGATGCGGTCGGTTCATTAGTTGATATGAAAGGAAGTCAGGTGGAGAATTCTATTCGTACTTCTTTTTCTGCTCTCCCCTCAGCGGGTGTGTGGAAGGCAGGGGGAAAGTTGGGGTGGGGGTGGGGCAGAGACATGAAACCGAAGTTCTTCCTGTCCTTAAGATGGCACCGCTTCCTCCTGGTCTTGGGACTTTCACTGAGACTAGCTGAGCAGAGATCCACATCCCGGCGTTGGACGCAGAACAGCAGGGTGGAGCCGGACTCGGTGGGGCCACGTTTCGGCTTTCCCTCCGAGCCCCGCTCCCCTTGAGGTTTTGCAGGGCAACGTCCCTCCTGTGCGACCAGGGTGGGCACTGCTGGGTTGAGACCAGAGGAGCAGCCACACGGGACTGGAGCAGCGGGGGCCTGGAGGCCTGGGCGAGGCTGGCCTCCTGCCCCGTGCTCAGCGGAGACCTTCACCTCCCTCGCCGGAGTGCTCCTCAGCCCTGAGAAACAGAGACCGTGAGGAGCCCAGCACTGGCAAATGGCGGGTTTTTCACAAATCCCCAGTGGCTTGCTTGGGTGTCACCTCTGTTTCCCCGGATACCAAGAAAGCAGCATCTGACATTCTGTAAAGTGCTCGGAGAAGCCCTGGCTGAGAATGCGGGACTTTAAAGCCATTGTTTTACAACTCCCAGGGTGTCTCTTTGGGTCTCTATTGGTTTTCCGTTGTCCTGAGGATGCTTTGCCCAGTGGCAGAGAGGGAAGCCCACTCCACAAGAGCATTGACTAGCAATTGTTGATTGGTTGATTGATTGACTGAACTTGACCCTGGGAGGGAGCCGGCTTTGACGGGAGCTTCCTGTTGGATCTGGCCGTAGAGTCATTGCTGGCATCCTCTCTCCAGCCTCGACCCAAGAGCTGACCTGGGGAGAGGGACCCCATTGTCTCTGTCTCTCCTGCCACCTCAAAATAGAATTATGTTTTCTTGGGCTCAGCTGGGGGTGTGGAGCACAGGCTGGCCTGGCTGGGGAGAAGGGACCCCGGAGAAGGAAACAGCGTTTTGGTGGAGCCTGGGAGCAAACACGTCTGACCCGAGAGACCTGAGAAGAGGGTGTGTGTGTGTGATGAGGCCTAAGTGACAGGCTGGGTGCACGTGTTGGTGAGGGAGAATGATGGGGGGTGAGGTGTGCCTGCTCCTTTGTCTTCTTCCCCAGCCCTTCTTGCTCTAAGGAGTGACGGGGGCAGCCGTTATCGAGGGTGAAAGGAGAAGAAAGAGTGTCTGGCTCAGAAGCGACTGTCGGGGTAACATAGGCTGCGTCCCTTTGACTCTGAACGCTACGATTCTGTGATCCCTCTGTTGTCTTTAGAGAAAAAGGGGAAAAGAAGGCACTCCACGGCGAGTCTTGGGAGGGAAGAGAAAATAGCCTGAGAGAGGCAGGGGGAGTCAGGTGACGGTAAGGAACATCTTGGCTCGCAGCCTTTAGAAATCAAAGAACAGAAAGGAAAAGGTAGCAGAGATGTTTCAAAAGACCAAGGAGCAGCGTGAGACACAAAGGGAGGGAAAGGGAGCAAGATGGTAAGTGGGACAGGCGAGGAAGACGTTGGAGTAGAGTCAGCAGGCCGGCCTGCGGCTGACAACCAGGGGAAGGAGGGATCCAGCAGGTGGGGAAGGAGGAGTTACAGCAGAGCCGCGAACGCCACGGAAGGCAGGGACCAAGACACCACAGGAACGAAGAGGAACGGACAGGGAGAAAGAAAAGCAAGGCAGAGAAGACCTAAAAGCTATTTCGGTGCTAGGTAATGTGAACATGTTACAGTAAATAAAAGCCAAAAGTGATGTTTGGTTTTACAGTATTTACAAACCATATGCTTTAAACAGCCCACAAACCTCATCCATTTGTCTGATTATGTGGGAGGACCAGCCCCAGCGAAGGGAGAGGGAGCTGATTTGGTTCTGGCCTGGATTTTGTGCCTTGAAACACGTCTCGAGAAAGCAGTGATACGCCCAGGGCCCTTGTTTGGCCAGGCTGTGTCCCGTGTCTGTGTCACACTCCCCTCCAGGGGCAGGGGTCACTGGCCTGCAGAGGTTGACCGCACAGTGCGGGCAGGGCTTCCAGAACCCCTGGAACTTTAATTGAGTCTTTAATTGAGGTGCTAAAACAGCCTTGCCCCTGCACATCACGTGGCTCAATGCAGAAGGAAGCAAGAATCATCCTAACCACCCACAGGGAGCTAAGGCCCTTAGGGACCAGGCTAAGAGGACAAGGACCAAACTATCCATATGGGGGGGGGGGGGGGCGCGGGCAAGCAATGTCCCTGGGCCTCTGGTGCTGCCTGGAGGAACGCATGAGGAGCTGCTCTCTACCTGAGTCCACTCGGCCCTCCTTCCAGCCACAACACAATCAGGGAAACAGCACCTTGTCTGTGACTCCAGCTGAAATGCTCTGCATGACCTGGGGGCAGGGAGCTTCCAGAGAAAGTCTAGATCTGGCTGAACCAGTTCGGTTTTCCTAACGCCCTGCTGAGGCTCGCTGCATGTCAGATGTCTGGTACCTGCCACTGCCCACCCGCTTTCAGATGGCCTTAGGCATCTGATCTGAGGCAGCGCTTCTCAAAATTAATGTGCCGGTGAGTTGCCCAGGGAATGCGGTAAAATGTAGGTTCTGATTCAACCCTGCGTTTCTACCAAGCTCCGAGGTGATGTTACTCCGTCCACGGACCACACTTTAAGTAGCAAGAGCAAAGAACTTCGCAGCTAAAAAGCTACAAAAATCTAATTAGATCCCTTTTCTCGGGATATTCGGGCACTTCTCTGTGTTGCTCACAAATAAGTCACTCTGAGCAGAGACAGGACTCAGAACTGTCATTATGACGTCATTCCTATTTGATGGCCGGGTGACTTTTGTCAGCATCTTCATCTCTACCAAGAATCAAGCAACTTTAGGGTGAGAGGCATCCAGATGAAATACAAACAGGGGTTGCCCAGTAGTGATTATTTTAAAGAGAAGCAGAGGTTACAGAAGTTGTGAGACATCTTTCTCAGGATTCTTTGAACATAAAATGGACTCGCATCAGGTGTGGTCCTGCTCGGAGGCAGGGGGATGGCCCATGTGACGGGGGCACTGTCAGATCTCATTCACCCAAAGCGAAACAGGTCACAGTGGGCACTGATTGGCATGAGCAAATACTTGCTGTTTGCCTTGTCTAAAGTTAACTCTTCAGCCTGTGTAGACCAAAACAAGGTCACAAGAAAAATTTTTGTCTCGATCCTACTCAGGGTCCTCCACGTCTCTCCCAACACCACAGCTGTGCCACCATCACCTCTCCCTTAGGCAACTGAATAAGCCTTGACACGTTTCTCCCTGCATACTCTCTCATCCCCAGTCCATTCACACAGATGCCAGAGTGATCTTTGTAAAACACAAGTCTGATCACGTCACTCCCCTGCCACTGTGCTTAAATTTGAATCCAAGTCCTGATGTGGCCCCGTGAGGTCTCTCATTGCCTCCCTCTCCAGCCTCCTCTGCACCCCTCCCCTCCTGGCTGCCATGCCTCCACCCACTGGCCTTCTCTCGGCCTCCAGGTGCCCAAAGATCGGTCCCCAAAGCCTTCATACCTCTTGTTCCCTCTTCAGCTTAAACGTCACTTTCTCAAATTGTCCTTTCTTGGCCTTAATCTAAAAGAACCCTTTCTATTGGATTATCTTGAGGTTGCTGGTGCTTTCCCTGATTAGCACATATACCAGTCTGTTGGACTATTGGACTGTAAGTCCCTGGGGGCAGGGATCATCTCTGTTTTGTAAACCACTGTAGGTACAGCATGTAGCACTGTGCTTGGCACACAGAAGGCTCAACAAGTATTTGTTTCATGAATGAGCAAGTGAAACCTGCCTCATGTCACCTAGCATTCATTCTATAACCCAAAGGTCCTGGGCCTTATGGACCCGTAGGTGCAAACAAAGTGATATTCACATTGATGCCCAAGTTACAGTAGCTTTTAGCCAACGGCCCTCAATATCTCCAGTTACTTCCTAGAGTCCAAGGGAGGGAGGCTGGTATCTCTCATGTGTTTAAGCATCGTCAGCTAATGTCTCCTACTCTGGCCATGTTCCATTGTCCCTGAACATCTTCTGCAGAAAGTGTCTTTCCTGATGCTGCCAACCTACTGTGCACCTGTTTGCTGATGAAATGGCCCAGTCCTTCAGGAAACCAAATCTGCCCTGCAGTCCACGTGGCAAGGCAGTCATGGAAGAGAAAGCGTGGAGAATGGCCTGTACCTACTTCTGAGTAGCCCTTGTCCCTGACCCCCAGAGAGGCACTTCCTAGGTCAAGGGACCCTCACAGCTCATTCCCTTCTCACCAGAGCCCTCTCCGCATCACACAGGACAAAGGAAGCCACCTTCCCCACCATCTCTCTTGTTTGCCTCTCTTCCTATTGTCCCTTCCTCCTTCAGCTGAAAAGAAACGCATTTGTACCTGTTTGTGCAATAGATATCACCTAGGATGCCAGGGGACATGTACCCTGTTGTACAATCTGGGCTCAGCTCTGATTCACTCATTAAACCAACAACTATTTATGAAGCATCTCGTAGGGGACAGACACAATCACCCAGTGGGTCCTCCACATCTCTTTACACTGCCCTCTGTCCACATCTGTGCCACAGTCACTGCCTCATTTCAATCCTCTCTTGCTTCTCTCCCAGGCAACTGTAATAGTTTCAGAACCGGTCTCTCCACCTCTGGGTTGGCCCCCTCTAATCCAGCCCACTGACTACCATTGAGATCCTATTAACATGCAAACTTGATGACATCAGGCTTCTGTTCAAAAGCCTCCAGAGGCTCCCATTAGCTTTCAGGCTAGAGTTTAAACTCCTTGGCATGGCACTAATGACATTTTGTGATCTGACTGCTGCCTGTTTGTTTAGCCACAATGCCCATCTCCCCTCAGAATGAGTCACGTTGTCTCAGAACTCAGGGTTTTCCCATTCGGTTCCCTCTGCCTGGAATGCCTCTCCCCCACCTTTTTGTCCAGATCAGTGCTGTCCAATAGCACTTTCTGTGATGATGATGGAGAAGTTCTCTATCTGCTCTGTCCAACGTGGCAGCCTCCAGACACTTGTGGCCCTTGAGCATTTGCAATGTGGCTGGTGTGAGTGAGTTAAATAGTGAGACATGGCAAGTGGCTACCTTATTGGGCAGTATGGATCCATGCAACTTCTACTCACTTTGAAATACTTAGCTCAGGGCTCAAGTGGCCCACTGGGGAGCCATCCCAACTTCATGGCTGCTGAAGATGTTCCTTCTTCATTTTCCTATAAGCATCCTTGTTGTGCTTCTATCCCGATATTCAGAACTCTGTAATATGGTCAGTGATTCATTGAGCCTGCCTCCCCCACTGGACTGAACATTTTTTTTAAATTTTTTAAAAGTTTTTATTTATTTTTGAGAAAGAGAGAGAGAGACAGATCATGAGCAGGGAGGGAAAAGGCAGCAGAGAATCTGAAGACAGAATCCAAAGCAGGCTCCAGGCTCTGATGTGGTGCTTGAACTCATAAACCGCGAGATCATGAGCTGAGCCAAAGTTGGACACTTAACCAACTGAGCCACGCAGGAGTCCCTGAACATTTTTGAGTGCACAAACAGTTCACCCAATAAATGGTTGATGCAGACATGCATTGGTATACTGATAAATGTTTAACAACTGCTCTCTGAAGGAAAGCCCTGATTTGTCACATTTGCCGGTTCTGTGTTGTGAATATTCCTACCATGTGTCAAGAGTATGAGAAGACAAGCCACAGAATGAGAAAAGATATTTACAAAAAAACTTATCTGATAAATAACTGTTATCCAGGGGCGCCGGGGTGGCTCAGTTGGTTGAGCTTCCAACTCTTGATCTCAGCTCAGGTCTTGATCTCAGGGTTGTGAGTTTGGGCCCCACAGTGGGCTCCACACTGGGTGTGGAGCCTACTTAAAAAAGAAGAGAAAAGAAAAGAAAAGAAAAGAAAAGAAAAGAAAAGAACTGTTATCCAAAATAAACAAAGAATTCTTAAAACCCAACAAAAGAAAATGAACAACCCAGATGAAAAATGGGCAAAAGGGCTGAACAGACACCTCACTGAAGAAGATATTAGATCACAAATAAGCACATGAAAAGATGTTCAACACTATATGTCACTAAGGAAATGCAAATTAAAATGATGAGATACAATGGCACAGCTCTTAGAAAATCTAAGGTCCAGGGGCACCTGGGTGCTCAGTTGGTTAAGTGTTCAACTCTTGATACTGACTTAGGTCATGATCTCATGGTAGTGAGATTGAGCCCTGCATTGGGCTCTGTGCTGACACCATGGAGCCTGCTTGGGATTCTCTCCCTCTCTCTCTCTCTGCCCCTCCCCTGCTTATGCTCTCTCTCTATCAAAGTAAATAAATAAGCATTTTTTTTTTTTTTTTTTGTAAATCCAAGGTCCAAAACACTGACAACGCTAACTGTTGGTAAGGATGTGGAGTAACAAGAATTCTGATTCACTGCTGGTGGGAACGCAAACTGGTACAGCCCCTTTGGAAGACAGTTTGGCAGTTTCTTACAAAACTAAACATAGTCTTAACATACGATCCAGCAATCATGCTCCTTGGTATTTACCCAAAGGAGCTGAAAACACATGTCCACACAAAAACCTGGACATGAATGTTTATGACTGTCTCATTCATAATTGCCAACTCTTGGAAGCAACCAAGGTGTCCTCCAGTGAGTGGATAACTAAGCTGTGGTAGATCCAGACAATGGTACGGTATAAAGTGCTAAGAAGAAATGAGCTATCCAGCCATGAAAAGATATGTAGACACTTAAATG